TTTTTTTTTCCACAAATCGCAGGGTAATCTGGGCCTCCACTGCCCGCCCCGGCGGTGGTGCAGCTCCCTGGGGCTGGATCCAGGTGCAGAGGACCCTTCTCAGCGGCGTGGCACCAAAAGCATTTTGCCCTCAATAAATCTGGGCCAATGTATCTAGAGTAATACTTTGGGGGCTCTGATATTTTAAGACCTCCATAAATCCTCTCTTATCTTTGCCCTTCGGGTAATCTGGGCCTCCACTGCCCGCCCCGGCGGTGGTGCAGCTCCCTGGGGCTGGATCCAGGTGCAGAGGACCCTTCTCAGCGGCGTGGCACCAAAAGCATTTTGCCCTCAATAAATCTGGGCCAATGTATCTAGAGTAATACTTTGGGGGCTCTGATATTTTAAGACCTCCATAAATCCTCTCTTATCTTTGCCCTTCAGGTCCATCTTCTTCTCTCAGGGTTTCAAAGCCACCCTCTATTCACTCCCCGCCCAAGCTGACACTGGCGGATGGGTCCAGTCCCCACCGTGCCACGTGGGTTTGGGAGAGCATCTGTTCCTATACCCATCATCTCTCACGTCCCAAATCCACCTCTCCACACAAACATCTCCTGGCATGGCACGAGGTGCCCCAACAAAGGGACGAGTTACCAACCGCAGCTGCTGGAGACTCCTTGTCTTCACCCAGAACTGGAATGTTCCACATGAAGGCAGCGCAGCAGCTTCATGCTCTCCCTCCCTGGAGTCCCCCAGCAGCTCACTCTTCATGTCCTTCGGGGGGCAGCTAACGCACCAGCCTGGGAACGGCACTCGGGGCTGCTCCTTCCATCACCCCCTTCCTCTCTGGGACCGTGGAGGGAACGGGGCCGGCCACCACCCACCTCCTCAAATGCCATGTGCCACCCCTCCAGGCCCAGTTGATCCCATCACACTTTCTTTTCAAGACAAAGCTTGGCAGGAGGTAACCAGTTCTCCTACAACAACGTCCTAAAGTCAGATTTTCATAATCTTTATGCAGTTTACAGTAGTTTCTGGACGAAAGAATCCAGCAGATTGTACTGTTTCTGCTGAAGATGAAGGGAGAACACAACGAAGTACATTACTGAGGTGCTACTAACCACTCCCATGGTATTTGCGTTTTATTTGTATTAGGGAGCTTTTCAAACAACCAACAACCGCTAAACGTGCTCATTAGTAGCAACTCAAATAATGTGCTGCTACTACGGCATTCGTCCTTCCCTTTCAGGGCTTTGTCTCTCTCCCGCCAGAGGCAGCGCAGAAACTTTGCTCACGTGACAACGGGTTCACACGAGTCCCATCCTGCCCCGGGCGGCAGGAGCCCAGGTTGCCCAGGGACCTGCGATGCCCTGCAGCCCCTACCACCAGGTCTGTCGCTGCTGCAGGCACTGTGGTACACGCAGCCTCGAGCAGCGAGACCCTCACCCCGGCCCGGGGCTGCCGGGTTCCGCTTAGGACACAAAAGCCACTTCCCAGATATGACAGAGCCACAGATGCGACACATCCCCTCCAAACACACGCTGCCGCAAAGGCTGGTTAGTTAAAACGAAGAGCCAGATGGTAGAAAGGATCAATCCGCTTTCCTCCGCAAAGCACCGTCTTCAGAATAAAAGGGCAAGATGACCCCTCATGCTATCCCACCGATCCCGCTCCGTTTTTAACCTCACGGACTCTGAACTCTCATCTATAGATGTCTAATCCCCTTCGGCTGCTGCTTTCAGGAACCCAACAAAGGCTGGCCCGGTAGGTGGGAACAAATTCTGGAGATAGGACTGATTTTGCAGGAGCGGGAGGGAAGCAAACAGAAGTAGCCTGGAGGTTAATTAGTGCAACAGCAGCAAATGCTAGCAGGACTTTACATGTTGAGAATTAATTACGTTTCAGGGGATTGTTTCCTTTTG